GCAGAAAAACGACAACTTCTCTGCCTGCTCCAACCCCACGACATTTACCTACTGCGGAACTACAGTCCTAAACTATGGAAGACTTCAATTGTTAATTCAATAAAAAAAATTCCATGCCGGGCCGACTGCAGACCAAGCCATCTGGACAGCCCAGAACGTACTTTTTATCACCGCTGAGTACCACTTTGTCTCACTTTCATTTTTTTCCATTCCATAAGATGTGACTTGACTATATGCTTAGTACGCATTATACCCAGCAAATGAGATTTCGTCTTCGTGTGGTTCAAAGATGTAGCACCTGGTGGACAAACCTGACGCTCAAATGCCAATTGAGGGGTACAAATAAACGAGGGTCTTGAATTAACACACTACAAATAAGTCTCGAGAAGGCTCTTAGACAGCCCACGAGCGATTTCAACCTTCTTGGGGACCAACTAGTAAGTTCAATTCCAATTAAAACCAAATTGTACAGATTTCGACAAATACACTCAATATACCCAGACTTATAACTTTTCCATCAACCAAAGATAATGATTGCGAAATAAAATTCAGTGGACCGTTATATTGCTCATACCGAAAGCCTGACCAATGGCAATGTTACAGTGATCTTGGAGCTTCATCGCAGCTGACAAGCAGCTATCAATCATAGGCTCATTAAAAAACACCCCTACGAGACCCATTTTGAAGAATCGAAACCAAATGGAAAGACAACTCTGATAAGACAAATTACCGAACCTATACATTTGTCTTCAGGCTATTATCCGTTGACGAACAATGCTTAGCTTTACTGTTAACATCATAACCATTCGAATAAAGATTTGAAAAAATAGAAATTACTCTCCAAAATTGTCTGCTCTCTATCATACATGGCTGGACCCTGGCACCTTCAAATTCGATCAATTATTTTGTTTCACGTGGGCATACTGACATCCTGATTGAGAGGAAACACCAATATCTACGAAGTCTGAGTTTTAGGAGTAAAACTATGAAAATCGTTGGAAAAACACGCTGTTCAATGGGACATGCTACCATAAGGTCACCGTAAACTCCCCGAAAGTTCACGATGGACTTCGCGCTTTTTGAAGCTCATCAGATAGGTACAGTCCCTGAGTTCCCCCGTCAACTGTACGTTCTACTTGAACCCGAATGGTGCCTCATTCGTGAAACACACTCAATAGCAAATAAACCTGGGTTTAGGGGAAACTCAATTGTCTCCCAGGTGAACACTCGTGAACACTCTTTCCTGTGCAACACATTCAGCTGAAGAATACCATGAGAGGCCTATCAGGATTCAGCTGGGTCTCCGTTCAATCCAATGAGTTTTCAAATAAGTGTATTTCTGGAACAAGTCACTCATTTTTGTCGTGTGACCTGTGCACTCAAGGGGTCACGCATTTTGGCAGCAATAAAGGATTGGAACAACTGACACAGATACGAAAAAGAGTAAAGAAAATGCCATTTCCGACCTTCCATTTTCGGCTGGCTGGCCCGCTGGTTGGTGAATTTGTTTCTTTTAAGCATAATTGAGTAGGCAGTGTAGGTTCTAGATTGACCAAATCATAATTCTCTGAGGAACACCAGCTATAACCCACACCACTCACCGCAAACAAAATGGCGCAAGAGATCACAACCGTCCTTACGCAAATCGATGGTCCTCGAATGACCATAAAAAATGAAAGAGCGAGGCTAGTAAATAATCCCTTATTTGAAGATATCTCAATATCAGCAGGTTCGACCTTAAAACAACCTCCTATATCCTCTATACAAGAAGGACATTGTGGTAAATTGTAAAGGTGATCACTTTGAGTATTGGCACTCGGTGATGGTGATAGTTCGTGCTGATATGCGATCGTCGTTGTAGAAATAAGGGTGAAAACTATGAATCAACTTAACCGAGCGTTTTCCCAACAATTTTATTCTATCACGACAAAGACGTGCGCGCAAACTTGTGTCGAACGCAGCAATCTTTGTGGAAGTCAAATGCTCGCTCGCATGGTAGCTTCCATTCGAACGTGAGGAGTGACGCTTGTGCAGCAGTTACTGTTCTATCGCCTCGTTTTCCACTCATGGTTTATCCCATTTTGATCCACCATACCTCTGAAACTCCGATATTTAGCTGTTTTCTGATCGTCGTACCTTCACACAAATGTAGATGGCCTTTACAAGGAGTGACCCGTTTTGTGGTGGCACTCCAACAGGAAGTCACGAAGATTCTCTCTTACTTCCGGTGTTTCGGCATATTGTCATGGGAAATTGTGGATACAGCCAGCAAAAGTGGTTACTTCGTTGAGATATTAACGATCTTACTAAGACCACTTGGGCCTTTCCCATGAAAAAAAATCGTTCAGCTGTAGCACCCATCCAATGCCTAGATGCCACCCAAAGGCAGCACGAGGAGTTGGATACTGCTAGGTTACCCTAGTCTAGACAGCGGAAGTCGAGAGGGGGAGGTCGGATTCGAACCATGGACCCTCCGGTCAGTAAATTCGCGTTCCAACTATCTGGGCCATCTCGCCCCGCCCTTCCCATGAGTGGTGCCTGTTCGCGCAGCAGCGAAAAAAAACAAGCTATGGAAAGGAATATATCCAAAGAACAAAGAAAAAAACTTATCTGATGTACATCAAACAGAATCATTCAAGCTTCTTTACTCGAAGCACTCGCGAAACTTTCGTAATAATTTGTGGGGAGATCAAAACTTGTACTATTGTGTCACACCTCAACGATCGAATAGAATGAATGACACTACTCGTTCAGCTATGACACATTTTTGGTGCCCAGCTGCCACCCAAAGGATTGAGATACTGCCAGGTTGCCTACGCCAGGACGGTAGCGAGATGCAGCTATGACACATTTTTGGTGCCCAGCTGCCACCCAAAGGATTGAGATACTGCCAGGTTGCCTACGCCAGGACGGTAGCAGTCGAGATGCAGAAGTTGGGCTCGAAACACGAACCTTACGGTCAAGCCTTAACCATCGCGAGCAGTATTCTAGCTAAGCCGGTAATCAAACAGTACAAATAGGTGAAAATGAGCCGGCAACTTTAGACGAAAATACGTTTGAATCTCATCCCAGTGGTCTGTTTTTGTTGTCGAGACCCAATCAGGGAACCATGTACAACAGAGGCGCGATTGGCTTCCACGTTTCCTTTGGCTGAAGTTGAAATGCTGTAGTCGGCACGTCAGTAAGTGGTCGAATTCAACTGGAGATCTACTGGAAGAATGGTTGATTCCAGTAACTATGCCAAATCGGAGTGACAGTTGGGCCAGATTTCACTGGACACTCAGAATTCACTAGCAGTTACAACTAATCGCATCGGAAAATCGGCAACGAAGCTCACTTCACTACCCGCATGCTAAAACTGTTAGCCTGATGAAACCAAATCAGGCATAGACTGAATGGTTTCGAACTGTGCGTCAACAAACTGATCTAACCATCACGCCGCCAATCAATTTCAGACACGGTGATCATATGCGAAACCGCCACAAAAAGACAGAGTGACTTAGGTGGTAACCGTATAGTTGAGCTTTAGTAAAACTTTAGTATTTCTGAGTATATTATATGTATATACTCAGAAATACTAAAGCTCTACTGATGGCTTACTGCCAACCTTTCTAATCAGGCCTTCAGACCAAAGGCAAATTGTCTGGCCTATCGTTTAAGGTGGTTTCAGAATCGATTTAATTTATTCCGCCAGAGGATCGAGATAAAACTAACTTTGATATCTCTTTTATACGTTCGGGTTAAACAGCACGTGAAAAAAGCACATAGAACGGTAGGAACAGTTGGTACAGTGACTGTTCGAAGTTCGCTATTCGAATGATCTGACATGTGTCGAGTGACTACAAGCGGCCATAAATGGTAGTTAACAAGGTGAAATGCAGTGGCGGTATATTGCTACGAGGTTCATCTGATTTAGGATTACCGGTACGCCACGTCTTTTGTTCGAAGATATTTGATCTATATAACAACCCTCTCTTCTTTTAGTTCGACCAGGTAGCTGTGCCATTCACAACAAGTTCGCCTGTACCTCCAAAATGCGTTTACCTCTCTGATAGGACCGAATAGGTTGCTGCCAAGAACGTTAACTGGGTAACCTTTGAAGCGACGCTCTTGGAAAATCGGGGCACAAGCTCGGTGTACTGATTGTACCTCAGACTTGAGCGCGACGGTCAATCCGTCAGTACCTCCTTTCCACTGGCTCAAATTCCGGTCGATGCAACCCGGTGTTCAATACATGCGGAACTGTTTGAACAATCAAGTGGCCACAGCGATCACACGAGCCTTGGACTCAGACAGCCTGGCAGTATCATAGATTTGTTTTGTTCTGGCTACTTTGCAACACCAATATACACCAGTGTTCATCATCATCCTTATCATGCTGCCGATGACGATGATGCTGGCGATTATAAGCGCCAGTGTACCAATCCGCCTAAAAACCTGAAAAATAATATTGTGCTCAGTAAGTGTAAACTAATTTTGGGGAAACTGGAGTCGTCCACGAAGGCCCTATTTTCAGAGGAATTGGAAAGACTGCAAGCGCTTCAAAGAAAAATACTCAAGAGAGATCATTGGTTTGTTCGCCGAGCTGGGCTACCCAAGCCACCAACATTCCCATCACTGACTGAAGAGTTTCATTAGGAAGAAGTGAAGGAAGCCGACAGATATTGGTAGACTTCATTCACACCAAAATACCTAAAAAAACATCTAGGTTTAAATTCAGTTTGGTGTTCTTAATATACGACTTTCTTGGGTGGATGTGCGAAGTAAAACAAAACAAACGTTCCCGTTCAGTTTCGCAGTCTGTCTCAGGATCGAATTCGGTTGGACTGTGAAGCTAAGGTGGTCGTGCTATTCAGCTGTAGTCACGAGCAGCCTAGAGCATTTTTCACCAATACTTACCATTCACAAAGAGATAAAGCATGATAAAGCTTACAAAACACAAGTTGTCAAACAATGATATAACGCCGGCTCTTGTTTAGAAAAAGATGAAATCAACCTACCTGAGCAAATTTGATCTTGAACTCTTCAAGCCGACGATGCACCTGGACGCTGGCAACTGAATCCTGTCGATTGGACTCATCATCACTTAACTCCTGAACGGTCGACCGTTCCGTGCTACCCGGACGGGAACGTCGCCCTGTGTAAAGGCGTAAATAGCAACGCCAATTGTTCGAATCGAAACCCCAGTGATTGAGATTGTCGACCTCTGTAACTGTGTGCGTGTGTCCAACGAACTGATCAGGAGCGAATAGGCGATGGCACGTCCGGCATTCAATGCACTTTGACGAAGGTTCAGTGTATAGATGGGAGTGAATGAACCCTAGCTGACGACCGAAACACTCGTGTATAACTGGAATCGGCTCGGTAGATGTCGAGCTCCCTTGGGAGATGGGTGAATTCCGGTGTTCACTGGTATGCTCTGGTTGATCAACCTTCGTGTTTTCTGATTGTGCCTCTCCGGAGGACTCCGTGGCCTCAACGTCCGATCCGATTGGCGAATCTCTTTGAGATCTGGGAAGTGGTTTTGATTTCGTCACAGACAATTCGTTGTTCTCCACGTCGACATCTGTCTGATGCGAACGATGTAAGCGCAACACCGAAGAATCTCGGGCTGACTCGGAGTTGATATATTTGTCCAAAGAGTCAATCCGATTACGGATGAATTTCGTCAGTCTTTCAGCATCACTCTTTCGAATCAAACCACAACTAGAAACAGCTTTTGGGAGGATCTTTCGCGAGTGCAGTAGCGTCAGCTGTGCGGGTGTGCACGTGGTACATGTGATTTGCAATTTCGTGCAAGCCTCGTCGATGGCTTTTAGATCCACATCATTCAGAACAAAGCGAAACAAATGAGGCAAACATAATCTTTTCTCACCCCAAACGTTAAATCCCATAATTATCTCACCATCGATAAGACTGGGAACCAAAACCCCAGTTTCCTGAATCGGGGAGCTGATGGAGAATTTTGGCGTGTCGGCTGTTCGTAAGGATTGCTGCGTTTTCTCCACTTGATCCTTTAAAATCGGATAAAAGGTCGGTTGGCAATAGAGTATTGAGTCCATCCGTTCACGGTCACATTGCGAGGGGAAATCCTGAGACTGGGCTTTACGTTTGAAACAGGCTGGGGATGGCGGCATTCGCTTGGGTAGCTTTGGCACTGGCGGGGGTACCGCCTCTGACGTCCGGGGAGCCAAAGCAGACACACTTAGGTCTTCTGCAAACTGACGAGGTAGGGGAAGAGCTCCCGGTTGGAATGCTGAAGCTAATGCTTGATGGAACAGTCCCGGTGAAGAAAAGAGGGGACTGAGTGGAGGGAACTGAAATTTGGGAGGATTAGACATGTCTTGTGGAGAAAATTTGCTGCATGCATAGGTAGCCAGCAGATTGTTCAACAACTCCATGCCATGCGACCCTTGTAGCCGCGCGTTGAGATTCTGTCTTAATGCTAGTGCCTTCCTCGCGACGGCCGGGTCCGTATATTGCATGTGAGGATACATTGAAAAATATGGGTTGTTCTGAATGGAGAATGTCATTTGAGGTTACGCTACCAAGATGTCCGTATCCTGATTGCGGGCGAGCAGTTTTGGAAAAAATCCGTAAACGCTCTCACACAGTGCGTCTAATCCACATGTCAGGCCGCATATGAATGTCACGCAAATAACCCAACACAGCAACTGGCACGCCTGTCTGTGTTAGACAGGCACACCAGCAGACAAACTCATGGGATGGATTTAGAACAGGAATGCGACAAGGTCACCCCAGTTCAGACTGTCTGGTTTGCCGTGTGTAGTGCCTGTCCTGTCTATACAACGTATCGCGCTCCATACCCACAGCCTGTTTTTACCTGTATAGGAGGGAAAAGGCTGACTACGGCGTGCACCAATCGCGTGGGCGGCCTTCAGAATGTCTGCGCCGTAGTGTGGCTGGTAGACCAATCACAGAGCGGTCGTTTACGCTAAGCCTATTGGCGTACCACCACCATAGAGACAAGCGCGGTCTAGTTTTTGTGCGACTGTGGCCTAATCTGTCTGCTTCACCACACGTGTTGTACCGAGCGGTCGCTTGCGCACCGATGTCCTCGTGAGGTCGCTGATTTGGTTCGCCAGACATCGGCATGTTCGATTTGGCGCTAATTGCGAAGTTAGCAGCACATTGTTAGTTCCTCTACTTTTTGCCGCTATTCATTTTTTTGCGAACGCGTCTCACATGACAAGAAATGTGTCAACAAGCTGTTTGAGTGCTATTTTCCTTCGGTATTGTCCGCAAGGTACCACGACTTCCTTTTGATGGCACACGTTATTTGGCCCTTTCTAGTGTCAATTAGTCTGCTGCTGAAGAAAACCGTGACCGAAAATTCGAGTAATGGAACGTAATTCATGACGTGATCGCCTACCGTCTTTTCAACAACGAATCCGACCTAGTCAATTCTGTCCCTATTCTCAGTAGAGGCCTATCGCTCTGGAAAGTACTCAAGAGTAGTCCAACACCCACGTTTGTTTTCGTTTCTTTTTGTCGATACTACTGCGCATTTGAAGAGAACTAACTTCCGAAGGTATCGGTTCCACAAAACCTTTCATTTTCATTGGAACTGACTGATTGTCAGGCATATGGGTACAAGATATACCCTACCTACGCCCATATGGTGAAAGGTTTCAAACGGCTAGGAATATCAGGATCCGACTACACGCAGTTGAGACTCAACCTTCGGCAACTAGCTGTTCTGCTGCGGAGATCTAGGACCAGTTGGTATGTTCCTGTTGACTGTTCGGGAATAATCCTGAGCACTACAACATACTTCCATGCATTTTCATGGACGGTTGCTTCCGAATAACTGAGCAGTTGATGATATCAGGAAAGTTGCCCAAAGAAATTTCTACAGATCCAGCATTACATCGACAGCCTCTCTGGTTAATCTCATTGAACACACCGATTCGGGTGTCGGGTATGCGGTCTTCTGCTCCGCAAAACGAACTCAGTACTATCTATGTCCATTTACCAAGTCCAACTAAAGTAAAGCCGTGTGTCGTATCAGATCACTCGGCATACACAAATTCCTCGTCTTTTATCCCAAGAAACACCTAACCTACGCAATACAAAGGCAAGCGAACTGTGGAAAATGGCTACGAAAGATTTCTGATGAAATCCAGATTTCCTCTCTCAGGTAAACCGCATAGTGACAGAAAACGTCCATTTTCTTTCGTATGGATCACATATAATCTGTGAGAGCTCACCTAAAAGTAACAAGCAGTGCTTTCAAATTCTGTCTGTCGTCCGCTCTGTCTAGGGATATCTAGCTGAAATTTGGAACCTATTTGTTAGTTCATTTCACGTATTTCTTGTGCGTTCCTTGAACAATCACCACGACTGCATTATTGGTGCTGGTAAGAATACAGGGAACAGCACAGTGCGAAAATCTGGATGATATTCGCGAAGTAAACACAGTTTGCAGTTGAGTCTGTATGGGATGAACCGCAGTATAAAGGCTAACGCTCGCTTCAACCCCAAGTAGTCTGTCACATCACAAACGAAAGAAGTAAACGAATGGTAGACATGCAGTGGAACACGAACGGGACGCGTCACAAGGAGACTGGACCTTGGAATAATACGCGGCCGCTGTCTCCGTAATCCATTCAGATATACTTGAGGTTTCCGAAGAATGTATCATACCGGGTTGGTCAGCTGTTATAGGTCTGATCAACAAAGTCTCCTGGTCCGCCAACTTGGAGGTTAGAACCTGTGTGACGATTTGTCCTTTGCAAAATTAATGAGCTCGCGTTTCCCGTCAAAAGCACTGTCTTGAAGTCAAGCTTCTAAGCCAGCCTCTGGTTGAGGGCCCTATTTGACCTCCTGACTAGGTTTGAGCACCTTGACAGTATCCCAGCCTGCGAAAGACCATGATACCAACAGTAAAAATTACCGTCATCCACATAGGTCCTCACGTAGTTTCATCAGCCGGGCTGAACTACTTGTTGTACGCAACAGGTCGGGGAAGCGAAAACAGGATACCTCTGACGCATCCCTTCTTTTTCTGTCACGAACTTTTCTTCTCGCTCCCCCACTCCATTACTGCCTCTATCTTTGTAGGTTCATTCGTCAGGATTGACGATCCAGTTGTCTTGCATCAGTTCTCCCCACAACATCTGCGCGTCAGCGAGTCCCGACAGTCTCAGGCATTACAAAGTGCATTTCTAAGCCTCGACCCCCAGTCTGTCAATGTTCAGACCCTGGAACAAGGAAAACAACATGTCTTCCTTGCTTTCACACTGGATTTGCTTGACATTGACGTGTGCTGTGTATCGGAAACAAGAATTCAAGATTCTTCCTCGCACGGTCATCCTGGTGAGTCCACACCATAGGAGGGAATTTCGCTCTTATTAGAGCCCATCAGCAGTGCATATCCAATGGCCGTGCCTAGGTTTGAACTCCGCACATCTGACACGCGAGGCGAGCGTGTTACCACAACTCCACCAGCGCACCCTCGACTCATCCGAATTCTTACATCTGCTCAGGTGAAGACGTTCGCGCTTGAGTGATGTGAGCAGAACGCTCGAAGCCTCAAACCCAATAACATTCCAGCGTGCGCTGGTGGAGTTGTGGTAACACGCTCGTCTCGCATGTCAGATGTGCGGAGTTCAAACCCAGGCATGGCCTTTGGATATGCACTGGTGATGGGATCTAATAAGAGCGAACCCCACTGTTGTGTGGACTCATCAGGATGATTGCTTGAGGACAGGAGGACGATTGTTCAAAGTAGAGTCATGGAAGTATGTAGTTTTCAGAATCCCACAACCACCAACACTTGAAATTCATGATTCAAGCACAGTGGTTGAGCTAACTGCTCCATCACTATTCACTCGGTTCCAACTGCGCAGCTCTGGCCATCCAGAAGCCGCTGCGGCAGGATATGCGGGGCTTGTTATCATTGTAAGTCACCGGGCGGAAGTACCCCTGACTGACTGCTTACCCGCTGATAGTGACCTCCCAGCGGCTCGTCTGATATCGTTCGTGAAGGAGTCTCACAAGCTGGAAGTCAATCGTTGTCCGTTTAGCGTGTCAGCTCACGTCCCAAGCGACTGTAGCTCTGTCACCATCAGAGGCAACTTTTATGATGCCTTGAGTGCCATGGACTAAAATTCCAACTGTATTTATGATTGCCGGAGATTTTAATGCGTAAGTGAACTGACCGTCTATAAATTGCACCTCCGTACGCTCCGTAAGTAGCCTCAGCCCGCACAATACCGAGTAAGGGAGCGTACTAACCATTAAACTAAACGGTAAGTTTTGTAGGTCTTCTGCCTCATTTTGGATTTCGTCCTTGTCAGTCTCCAGTGTCTGCGCTTCCAACGCTTTACTTGTGACACAGATATCCCATATTAAAAAACGAAGGAGTTCTATACATCAAAACACAACAATCCGTGGTTTTAGCAGACCAAACAATACACTGCCGTCAAACCAGCATCCTGAAGTTAGGATCAACTTTGATCCTCTCTAGGATTTCCTGACACGGGTCCAGTACGAAGACCATGCATGTTTTCATTGTGCTGTTAAACGAAAGTGTCAATTGCAGGCGTACACCACACTAACGGACGAAAACATTGAACGAATCCTTCAGAGTCCAAACAAAAGTAGGAGGAGGCAACTGGATGACCCGGCATGGTCAAAATCCACAGAAATATTCCGAAAACGAGTAGCAGTCAGTTACTGATCCGCACCATCAGTAACTACGGGTGATGTGTTCGAGAAATACACTCATTTTCAAATCAATTTGGTTTCCACGAGAGATTGAACTGAAACTCTCTATTATGATATTCCACAACTGAATATGCTGCACAAAGGCCGTATCATGTTTCATTTGGCACGATATTTGAGATATCGTGGTATATTTTCATAAAGAAAATCACCCACAAGGTTACTGGAAACTCTTCGATAGCTCACTACCGGTTTCGCTCTTCTTGGGGTTCATCAGGTGGGCGCAGTCCCCGAGTTTCCGTCAACTTGATGTTCTACTTAGACCCTAGTTGGACTGTTTTCGAGAAATACACTCATTTGCAAATCAGTTTGGTTTCCACGAGAGACTCAACTGAACCTCTCGTTTATGATATTCTATATTTGAATGTGCTGCACAAAGGCTCTCTCACGTTTCAGTTGGCACGATATTCGAGATATCGCAGTATATTTTCATAAAGGACACTATTCACAAGGTTGCTGGGTTTTCAGCAACGACACAGTTATTTTGAAAACGAGTACTACACGATACGGTTAGCACACAGCTGAGGCACTCGTTTGTCGTGGCTTGTGCGTACCGAGTCCCATCCTAATCCACCGTCCAATTGAGTTTCAGATGTGCTCAGATGCCCGCCAGTGACATACTCGTTTAACAGCACAATGAAAACATGCATGGTCTTGTACTGGACCCCGTGTCAGGAAATCCTAGAGCGGATCAAAGTTGATCCTAACTTCAGGATGCTGGTTTGACGGCAGTGTATTGTTTGGTCTGCTAAAACCACGGATTGTTGTGTTTTGATGTATAGAACTCCTTCGTTTTTTAATATGGGATATCTGTGTCACAAGTAAAGCGTTGGAAGCGCAGACACTGGAGACTGACAAGGACGAAATCCAAAATGAGGCAGAAGACCTACAAAACTTACCGTTTAATGGTAGCTGTAGTACGCTCCCTTACTCGGTATTGTGCGGGCTGAGGCTACTTACGGAGCCTGCGGAGGCGCGATTCAGAGATGATCAGCCGTCCTCACCTAAACGCATGATTTCGAAGACGGTAGCGATGTCCGTATGTCGGTGACTCAAAGTGTTGCATTTCGAGCCTGGTTGGAGACACTGAAAGAAACATTGGCTGAGCTCGAGACAGCTCAGTGGTTAAGACGTGAACCTAATCGGAAGGTCTGTCGTTCGAACCGAACGCCGGCATCTCGACGGCTGCTGGCGGTATCTCAGTTCTCCTGCTTCCTTCGGATGGCATTGCAGCTAGGCAGCAAGAGGGTGTTACAGCGGAAATAAATTTCAGAAGCTGTTGAATACTCAATAACAACTTGGAAGATAAAAAGGCTATCCATAACCCACCTGTGTCAATCTATTTTGTTTACGGGTCTTCCGTAATCTATGTGGGGGTTCTGCAAACTGTGCGGGACATGCAACATGGCACTGTACACGTTGCCCTCAAGTAATCTGGGAAACCAACCACGTGATTAGTACGACTGCAGCTCACCTGATAGCCACTTATCATCGGATTAATCCAGCATAATAGTCTAAGGTTATCTATTAAATCCGAAAAAAAAACTTCTCCAAGGCCGTCCGACAAAATGTGTGGGTAACTGCTGGGGTAATCACAGATCGATCGCAACAACCGATCATCTGCTACCGGAAGCGTCAACTGAAAGCCGGACGAGACCATTTAGAAATCATGTGAGTGCATCGTGTGTTCTGTAGTTTGTTTCGGACACGTAACAAAGGATGTTAGTAATTCCGAAGGCACATCTACTAAATCAACATGGAATAATATACTTCCGTTACGTCCTAACGATTGCAGCCCTTCAAATAGAAAATATGAAGTACCTTATGTTAGCATGAAGGAAACTAATCACAAGGTTACTGAAAACTCTCTGACCTTGTGGGTAGTTTCCCTTATGAAAATATACTGCGATATCTCGAATGCTGTGCCGACTGGAGCATGAGACGGCCTTTGTGCGGCACATTCAGTTGAAGAATATCATAAACGAGAGGTTCACTTGAGTCACCTGTGAAAAACAAATTGATAGGCAATGGGTATATTTGTCGATACCTTATTCTAGTCCCCCCTGAGAGCATTGACCTTTTCCACTTCACTCTATCTGCACTTGAACTAATGATGTGTCCATCTCCTCCGTGTACTTTGGTACCTACGACCCTGTGGAAACGAAAAACAAATCCCAAATTCTCAGTAAACATCAGCTAAATTCATCTGAGATAAGTACCGCGTTAAACACGCTGCACATTTCGATGAAACGATTTCATTTATTAAGACCTTCGATTGAAAGGACCGCTTACTCCAGCAGCCACCTTTACATCTGTTTCATCGGAGTTAGTTCGTCGCTGACAGATGGAGAGTAGTATATTTCTTCGTTCATCCATAATGACTCACGAATGGTGCAGTGTTAATCTAAACAGCTGATAGAATGCCAAAACTTACGTTGCCTCCTCCACACAAAGATGGTATGGGACGTTGTCATGTGCACAGAATGTGGAGCCTAGAACTAGCTGGTGCTAGCCACTCACCGTACTGGAAAATGTGTTACAAGGTCCATGCAAATGAGATGGATTTTCTGTCAGCAGATTACCTGACTAACCAGCTAGCCTGGCTTGTCCCACAGTATCCTGGGATAAACATCATCTGGTCCTGGGGAGCTAAGTAACTGAACCAAACCAGAAGGTTACAGACATCTTAGAATTTAACATCCGTACACATCACATACATTTGTGGCGAGAGAGATGGGAGCAGAAGAGCGCGAGGTTGCATAATGGGCTCTGAAGAGCTCCACAACAATAAGTGGGTCTTGAATAGATCCTGGAGGAATGTTTCTGGAGTAGAACGCGATAGGTTTGACCCCCAAACAATCTCACCTACATATGTGGAGTACATGTTTCATTTGTCGGACGGCAGCCCAGATTTGGCATTGCTTCACACTAAGGAACTTGTGAATTTCCGCCCTATACTGGTTCCACCTTTGCCAAAATGCCGCTCCATTGCTAAGAGCCACGGTGACCATCTTCTTCGTAAGAAGTGGTGAAGACTGTGGATCCTTTCTGTGGAACTTTGCTCGGATCGGCGGCATGCTAGTCTCCTGGGAATGAAGGTCGTGTCCGTTTCGAGTATTACCTGGACTACTGTGATACAGTTGATTCCTGCGTATGGTGACAGCAGTATCAGCAGAAACAGGATGTCCCTCATTGAAGCGGTGTGGTTGGGGAAAACTTCGCAGAGAGGCTCATGGATGAGAAGCTATTACCGATCAAAAAACTTACAACCAAAAGAGAGAAGGTCGTGGCCATTGTGACCAAGTGAGCCGCGTCTCGGTGAGAGCGATCAGGGAGGGACTCTCATGTCTCATTATCTGCCGTATTTCTGAAAATATGTTGAAGACGCCGAGGCGGTGTGTGTGCAAGCATTCTGGTGATGATCCTCTATAGTATCTTCGGGAGGACAGAGTATAATAGGCGTTGTAAGGAAACGGTCATCTACGGTGCAAGTGGATCGTCTGCTGGTTTAAATGGTGAGTCTCTCTTTGGTCGCAGCCAGGATGGGATCGGCGCATTGGTTGACTGTATTCCGTGATCGTTATTTCGGTCAGCACTGAGCAATAAACCTTTCTTCTTTGGTGTCCCTCATCCTGTTAACACATTCCAAGCGACCGTGGTCTCCGTTGGCGCCTATGTCTTGTCCAAACCTTAGGTCTATTGGCCGAAGCTTCGTTTAAAGTCGTATAAACATGCAAGCATTTCGGGCGAATCTCTAATCTTTTTGTATCATCTCTATCAGGAAGGTCAGCGTCCTGAAAGCAACCACTGAATGCCCGGAATCTACGGTGACTCTCAGCTCCGCTGGGTGTTGACCAGACAGACAACGCCCCCTCAATATGCAGCGCGTCAAAGCCTTGCATCAAACCCAGACAGCGCGAGTCAGCGTTGATCAAGGTCAGGCAACGCCTCCGCAATATGCAGCACGTCGCTGCCTCGTACCAAAGTCAGACCGCGTGCGTCAGCATTGGACCAAGTTCAGTGTCCTTCCAATAAAATGCTTGAGGCCGTTGTACTTTTTGCACTCGCGCTCTCGCAACCACTTTGTTGGAATATAGCTATTGTGTTCCCCTCCGTGAGTCTTTTCTCTCCGACACTAGGCACTGGAGCGGGTCAGCAGCGGATGCCACAGGCTGGCGAATCAGCAGATATAACATTCTCGTCCCGATTAGACACTTGTGGTTCATTTGTCCGAGACTACCGTTTCCAGTCTTCACACGTGTGTTCTGTTTTTTACTGGAGTTACTCATTCAGTCTAAGGCATCTAAGGCGCCAAGTTGTAATGACAGTTGCAACGGAATGCCCCCAAATTGGTCTGATCGGTGTTTAGGCTGAAAAAAGCGATCCTCAATGTCTACATGTCAGTTACATTATTCCCATATCGAGGTTTCTGTGCTGAGTTTGGAAATGCCCAAGATATGTCGGTGTTCTCTCAACTTCTACAAACTCATTCAGTCGAACAAGCACTGAGACTAGTTCTCGATGCACGGAGGAAACATCACCGAGGGAGCGTTGATGTATGGTAACACCCTTCATCACGTGAATCGTCTGTTGCATCACAAATGACGCGTGGAAATAAAATGTATACTACTAACGATTATCATACATGATGACAGGCAAAACTACATCTGGAAATCCAGTTTTAAACTGGTGAGATTTCATTTGGGAATCGAGAAAATAACCTGTTAAAAACCGCGTTATTCTGGAAGTTGCATAAACGTTAAATGCACGTATAATGCACCAGCCTGGCGATAGTTCAAATGCCTGCAGTTTAGTGTCATTTTCTAACAGTAACGGCCACACCAAGCTCAACCGACTGGGTTTCACACCGTGCCCCGTTATAATTCATTATTACGTACGTTAGGTTTCTGAAAGTTATGCTTAAAATATGCCGAAAAATCTTTTGTCGATTGATGTCCAGAGTCAAACCCAAATAGTAACTAAGACTATTCGAACTTAAGTCCGGTGGACAACCGTTTTTCTTCTTTTTCTAGGTGGATATTTTTGGGGTACTTTTGTATAGCGTGGCGAAGAAGACTAAATGGATCAAAGTGAAGTTTTCTGATGGCTATTACAGTGAGTTCTTGTCACATCAATCTGAGGCTACATGATGCAAAACTGACCAAGATAATTAGATCATAAGGTTGACGCAAACTCGCGGACTGCGCCTACCTGATGAACCCCAAGAAGGGTGAAACCGGCCGTGGGCTGTCGAAGAGTTTTCAGCAACCTTGGGAGTAGTTTCCTTCATGAAAAATACAATAACCAAATAGTGCCTTGGTGCTGAAAGGGAAACCGTGAATGTTTTTGTGCCACCGGCACTCGGTGGATCGACGCCGATGGACAGAGAAGTCACAACTACCCTTAATTTAAACCCAAAATATATTAGTCTTGACATTATTGGTTGCAATCGGAGGGGAAACTCTCCAGCCTAGGTACCTCGAAGCTGCGTGTGTGGATAGCTTTTTCTGCTATTCCGACGTCCTACTAATAACTTCCCGTTGTGGAATCTATTCTGGATATACGGAGAGATTTTTCGCGTAACCATGCAAATGAACAATTTACTGTAGACGAAACCCACGTAGCCGACTGTCATTAGATCGAAAGTGCTGGGATTCATATATACCGCGATAAACCTTATTACCAACTCTGTTATGCGGCAACGAATTTTTTAAGTTGGATACCGGTACATTAAGAGTTCACAGGTTAACAAATGTAGCGGAGTCACAACAGAAGACGCGAAGCTTAAGGATTTAAAGATCTAATCCGTGCAAAACCACTCACTTCGGTGTGTATGCTACCCAAAAATGCTTTACCGCTGAGTCAAACAACCAAATCACCAAAGTTATCCAGAGACAATCGATCTAAATCAGTTCGGTATGTATAGTATACTTGAACGTGTTTGATTAGCTGAAAGCAGTCCAAGTTTAAAGTACTTGTCTGAATCAGTCTATTGATTGCCGTGGTTCATTTCATGAACACAGCCTTGTTAACGGTTATTTGTGCTCATCCAGAAAAAAGGAAGTCACTTTTGTAGTTCCGAGGAGAACCTGTCGGTGAGAGCACTGTTACTTCCTCTTGCCCACTCACGATTTGTTGTTTTGTTAACTCGGTCCGCTCCTATTATAGTACTCTCGCGGAAACGAGAGATTTATTTAAGACGGTTCATCACGGCTATTCTGCACACAGTAGTGTACAACAAGAAGTCTTTGCTATAAGTGACATCAGAACAGAGTTCCTGTTACCAGTGAACTAATTCCAGACTGCTAGTGTTTCTCTACAAAGGTTAAGCAGGCACACCGTACTTCGTGAGTTTTGCACTATTTGCATTTAGTTGGCAAGATCAAATTCAAATAAGGGGCATTAGTACAGTTTTAACGTTGTTTTTAGATCTCTTCAGTTACATGAAATTACTGAATAGGACTTGTCGATATAGTGTGAAAAGATGTTGCAATTCTTGTTTGCTGTAGGTCTCTCGACTTCCCCTGTCTAGGTTTGGACAACCTGGCGGTATCCCAGGCCCGTTGCTTCCTTTGAGTGACATGTCAGCTAGACACCGAGAAGGCGTTACAGCTGAACGATTATATTACTATTATTATTACAGGTCTGTAACCGAATTTAGTTTATATCCCCTATCTTGTCAGAGGGAAGCAATTTCCATATTAAGCTCACACACAGTCTGTGTTATTTCGACGCTTTTGAACAGGGATTTATTCATAAAGGAAACTATTCACAAGGTTGCTGAAAACTTTTCGACAACCCACGACCGGTTTCGTCCTTCTCAGGACTCACCAGGTAGGCGCGGTCCCCGAGTTCCGTCAACCTTATGTTCTACTTGAACCCAGGGGATTTATTCAGTTAAACATGCTTATACTGTGCGAATGCTTTTCTGAAGGTTAAAATCCAAAGAGTGTATTGACTAATCTCGATGTTACACGATGTAGCTAGTTAAGTACGATTTCTTTTTGAAAGAGTGACCTATAAAGTTCAAGATAGCTGTCTTATTTAACGGGTAGAAATCAGTTCCTCTGGAAGAGATGAACCATATAGTATCGTTGAATATCGCTCATAGCTACATCATAAATGGCCTACTATAAGTTAAACATATGTGCCCATAGAATTGTAGTCAGGTATCAGATGCGGGAGACCGTTCGGTTAAGTGAACGTCTGACGGCACGATGCCGTATTGTTCCAAAAGTGGAATGCGTTTACTGGATATATTCCTAAACTTCGCAATCGGATAATCTCAAACCTGAGCTCGAAAGCGGTCGAATCTTGAAGTGGACAAAAACAGTGATGGGGAAGACAAATAAGAAAGTTTGAGTGATTTATTAGTGAACATGAATGCAACTACTGATGCTACGGGAAGAACAATAACTTCTTAAGGAAGTACAGTAACTCTAAGGCTGTAGAAAAATTTCCAACACCCTGCGACCGCATCATGAAGTTAATCAGTTAGGTGCAGTCCCCGAGTTTCCTTCAGTCTTATGTTTTACTTTACCTAATCAGGATAGTCTTTGAACGCCCTAGACTACGTTTTGAGTGTGCCCAGCAGGGAGATCATACCCATTCGTGCGTATTAAAGTTAGTCATACTAACACCGTAAGCCTCTATTTGGCCTCGGATGCCTTGGGGTCTAGGCCGTTGCCTCTAATGTAAACTGCAAAACGTGTCACAGCAGTCGAATCTAGTACATAGCACCAATAAGTGTCAAAAATGTTCTTCGATTTCACTTAGCAAGCGGAGTCAGCACATTACCGATGTTTCTACCTTCTTGAAAGTCCTCAACAGATACTATGTCACTATCCATAGGCTACATGATCAGCAGTAAAATCGACTTGCACTTAGGCAGGATATGGTGGGACTAGTCGTTCAGTCTAGCGTATTGAGTCACGGCATTCGATGCACCCGCCGAAAATTACCTCAGGTGCAGCCACTCATGATCTGGGGGGCACAAGATGATTGCTCTATTGTAACGTGACGCCACTTAAACCATGTGCACTATATGGATGCAACATCTCCACAAGAATTTATCATA